TTCCATCCCTTCCTGTCTTCACCGATGGGAATCAGAAGTTTGGTAAGACCACCATTTATGTCCAGTTTAGCAATCTCTGCAAGATAGCCTTTTCTATTACTCGACTTTTCAACCCAAATGGTTTGGTCGTCTATATGTGTCTCCTTGAAGAACTTCTGGTTAAGAGGGGAAGATGTGAGGGTAGAGAAGACAGTCTTAAGCCAAGCTATGGAAGACCAGTGGAGGGAGATGTAGAAAGCCTAGTCTTTGTTGGCTTCTGTGATGCGGACTCTACTTCCTCGAAATCTATGATCAGTGTTGATGGTAAAACACTTTCTTTCGATGGTGATGGAGGTGGGGCGGGGATGGGGAGGGTGAGCCATGAGGAGAGCAAGGGTAGTCTACTGAGGAAAGCATGGGTAAGCTACCGGAGAGGCTCCGGCGACGGGGAGAGGAAGTGGAGAGAGCATCTCTTTTCGAGAATAAAAATTGATGACATTATGTATCTACTTGGGGGTATGTATCTACTTGGGGGTATCTACTTGAGGAATGGGGGTACTTTAAAAAAACCTTGTAACCACTTGGTGAATTAGGGGAAGACTGCGCTTTCGTTGCAATATGGAGGTCTTGGTATAGGGGCCTTACATCAAAAGAACAATAGCTTACTGCTTAAATGGCTATGGAGATTTACCCAAGAAACTAATACTTTGTGGCGGAAGGTGATTGTAAGTATCCATGGAGAAGATTCCCAGGGATGGTGTACACTTCCTCCTAAAGGACATGTTAGGGGAGGCCGTGGTTTGATATTTTTAAAAACAGCACGTTCTTCTTCAAGTTCCTTGATTTCAAGGTGAGAATGGGAAGTAGAGTTAAATTCTAGTCGGACAAATGGATTGGGAATGATTCTCTCCGAAACTTGTTCCCTGCCATGTTCAATCTTTCTTCTATAAAGGAGGCAACGGTAGCTGAGTGTTGGAATGTAAATGAAAATGATTGGGATATTGGACTGCGCAGAGGCCTTTTCGAATGGGAGGTTGAGAGCTGGATGGGGCTTATTCAAGAAATTGATGTGGTGCAGTTGGGGGAAGGTGAGGATCAAGTAGTATGGTCCATAGACAAAAATGGTCGGTTCTCCACTAGTTCGGCCTTTTTGAATTTGGTGGATTGCAACCCCTCTTTGAGGTCCCCTCTTATTTCGACAGTGTGGAAATTTAAGGCTCCAAAGAAGGTAAAAGTGTTCCTTTGGTCCCTAGCCCATGGAAGTTTGAATACCCATGACAAACTCCAGAGAAAGTGTAGGAACTGGATACTGTCCTCCTCGGTCTGCACTCTTTGTATGAAGCACAATGAGAACATGGATCACATGTTTCTGCACTGCCTTTTTGCTTCACAGATTTGGCATTTCCTCCTAAATATTTTTGAGATCTCCACTTGCTTCCCAAGACAGATTGAAGATTGGATGGCTGAAGCTCTTCATGGTTGGACTCTCCCTAAGAAAACAAGGTTTATCTGGTGTTGTGCCTCTAGAGCTCTCCTTTGGCATATTTGGCTCGAAAGAAACTATCGGGTTTTTGAAGACAAGTCCAATACTTTTGATCTCTTTTGTAGGAATATACAGTACACTACCTCTTGGTGCTGCATTAATTATAGTAAATTCTTTTGTAATTACAACCTATCCATGTTCTTGCACAACTGGATAGCGGTTGTTTAGTTTTTTAGGTGGGGTTTCCTCTACCTCAGCCTAAAGGCTGTCTTTCTTTTTTGATATATCCAAAGAAAGTTTCTTATCTAAAAAAAGGCTCATCTAACTCTCCAAACTTCTTTAAGAAAACAAACAAAAGACACAAGATAATCTAGCCTATACAAAAAGCAACATAATAAAGAAACAACAACAAAAACCATAAAACTACCTAAGGAAGTTGTAACTTTCCCAACACAAAGAAACCAAATAAAAAAGTTAATTCAAAACGTGGCTGCCATCTATGATTCCTGTTTTGCCCTTCCCTACGTAAACCTTTTTAATTGGAGGTCTAACAATTTTCTAAACATGGAGTTGGAAAGGATTTATTCGTATATAAGCTCATTCTAGAAGGAAGTTGGAACTAAAAGCTGAACGAGATAGAGAGATTGCTGGAATTTTGGCCAGCATTCCTCAGAATCTCGAAGCCTTGTTTCCTGAAGATGTTTTTGAAGATGATTCTGATGTTCAGGCCTTTCAAAGTCTTTTGCAGTGGGTTCTTTGTGAGTGGGAGGCTTGCTCTGAAAGTTCGATGCTTCGATTCTCTTAAYGAATGCGTTAAAGTTCACCTTTTGGGATGCTTCTTGGATTGACTTATAAAGGTTATCTCCCCCATTCATGTCTTTTTTGTCTTTGTCTATTATCGTTCTTCTTTTGGATTGTATTTCTCTCTTTAGGTTTTTATTTTTCCTTTCCTCTATTCTGTTTTCTTCTCTCCTTTGGGAGGTTGTATCATTTGGACAATTTTGTTCTTTTTTATTAATCAATGAGAAGTTCGTATCTTGTCAAAAAAAAAAACAAGATCAAATTTACAAGGAGAGGAGGCCTAAAAATCCCACTCAATCCTCAACCTTAAAGCTAAAGAGACAATTACTTCCTCACATGTCCTATCTCCCATGTATTTTTCAGGAGTTCTTTTTTACTTTTTCAACTTTCCAAATATCCTACAAATGGGAAAAACTAAAAAGGTCCTTTAAACGCTTCCATGCAATCACAAGTTAGATGCTATTATAGAGCAAATTATGGTATAGCAGAGCAGCCACTTTTAAAATTGATTCCACCAACATTTAGGAATATAAGATTAGCTCCATGACGTACCTCATTTCCTTCACGCATGAGGGAACGCACCAATGTTGGGGCAGTGTAGAATATTGTCACCTTATGCTTATCAACTATGTCCCAACAACGTCCAGGATCGGGATAATTTGGAGCCTGCAGCAGGAAAGATGTAGTTTCTTGTCAAACGAGGCTATCTTACATTCTGCTCATAGTGTTGCTGTGAATCTTTTATTACTTAAACAACTTGTGTTTCAAAATTATAAGGTGAATTCTTCTTCAGTTTGAGCTTCTTTGTTATCATTATCACATCGATTATTTTCATAAGAAAAATTTTTAAAAAAATTATCAAGAAAGAGATGGAGAACTAGTGTGGCTGGGGGCTTGAGTCCAAAGCCCAAACTAAGACCATTAAAATAAATTTTTTTTTTATAAGATACAACAAGCTTCATTCAAAAGAGGTAACAAAGGAGCAACAACCTAAGGGTGGGGGAGCCTTGTCCCCCCCCCCCACAGGCTAATACATTACAGCTTTCCAATCACGAGAGTAAGGCTATATTGTAATTACAAATATGCATGCATATATATTCATACACACACAATATCCAATTAGTAAAAGGAGAAGTATTAGATTTTTTTTAATTAAAAGTCAAGCTTTCATCGAGAAAAATGAAAGAATACATATGGGCATATAAAAAACCAGCCCACCAGAAGGAGCCAAACCGTCCAATCAAGCAAGATCAAGCCTAAAAAGTAATTACAAAAACTGTTGGACATTGAGGCCCAAAGGGGGACATGGAAACGAGCAAGGTCCCACACCTCCTCTCTCGATCTCTCTATCCCTCTAAAAATCCTGTTGTTACAAAAACTTTTTTTTCCTATTGTTCCCTTCAAACCACAAACCCCACAGGCCACAGAACAGCAAAGAAACCAATATAAGAAAATTTTATAAGTACCACAAAGAGCCCATAGAGTGTATTCTTCCCAAAAGTTCATGCTCACTACCTATCTCGTCTTCAAAAATCCTTTATGTTTCTTCTCTTTTGAGTTTACCATAGGACTACAACAATAGAGATTGTACAAATAATTTCTTTGGTTTTACATCTTTGGTCTCTTATAAACTAGAACAGGAAATCTTCAAACATCAACATCCATTAGAAAGACCCAGTCAAAATCGAGGGCTTCCTACCATTTACTCGTCTCCAAACAGACAAAGGCAAAGGACACTTCGTGAATTAATTTAATTACGCATGGATTTTCCTCATTTTAAATATCAAAGGCCAAAGAAAATTGAAATGGTCAATCTTTACCCCTTCATAGACAACAACACTAGCTCCATTGAGCAATGGCCCGTATGTAACATAGCTGTGCCCAGTAATCCAACCACAGTCAGCTGTACACCTAAAATCAAGAGAAGGATACTTAGGGAAACCATAATATAGATGTACATAGAAAGAGGTTAAGGTTAATCTTAGATTCGAAAATACCAGTAGACGTCACATGGTTTGTAATCAAACGCATACTTGAATGTTGTTGCAGTATACACCATGTATCCTCCAGTTGTATGAAGAACACCCTTCAAAACTTAAATTAGAATTTTTCCAGTGCAAAGTAGAAAAGGCTCACTAAATGATGGAAAAGGTTTACCTTTGGCTTTCCAGTACTCCCACTAGTATAAAGCAGGAAAAGTGGAAACTCTGCATCAACCCACTCCACTGTACATGTGGTTGGATATGTAGGGACAACATCCTGCTTATATTACAACCAATCATTAACACCTCCAAGAGGATAGTCTCACTGTTGCAACCCAAAAATGTAAAACACAAATTTACAGCTCTAGTCAAGAAACTTTTGAAGTTGATGTTTTGAATACCTAATAAGAAACTTCCCTTAATGTCTCAAGAAACATATATAGGACAAAAATATTCAATTCTTTTCAAGATACGTTGGAAATCATTGCATTCTCTTATGAGATAGTGTACAATATCTTATGAGATAGTAAATGTAAGACCATCAGAAAAGAAAAATATACTTGGATATCCATGTTGTTATCATGCAGCAAATACATATATCAATAAGAAGCAGGGGGCATTGAACACAACGTATTATTTTATATTTCTGAAAATCCATTACCATGAGGTAAGATATACAAACCTGCCACCATATATCTCTCCCTTCCTTCCATGTAGTAGATTCTCTCTTTAGTGCTGACTCATTCTCGTAGGTAAGGCATGTTGCTACAGAAAGAGAGTAAAGAGTTAAAAGGGAAAAAAGGCAGAAAAAGGCAGAAAAAGGTAGATTATGTTGCAGATTATTTCATCAAGAAAATTACTTCGTATAGGTGTGGGACCATCCAAGGTACAAACCTGAGGTTTATAACTCATCCACCTGACAAGTCTTTCTTTATTAATAAGAAACAAACATACAAACCCTTGATTGTACCCAAAGATAATCACATGACAAAGGAAACTAGTCACAGAACCAAAAAAAAAATGGAGCTTAAAAAAGAAAATTTATATAATTTGTCAAAATTAGAGATAAAGAAAAGGATAAAACTATTCATCAAAAAGTGGTCACGATGAAGTGACCAGAAAATGAGCATCCAATGCCATATATTGCTTCACTATGTTGCCTTAATGAAATCCTTCCAATCTCCTCCTTTTCAGATAAAAGGTGCAAAACCTAAATCATTGGGACCATCCTAACGTTGCCCTTTTGTCCTGGATCTCTAGAAACTCTCACAATAAAGTCACACAACATTTTATTGGTGGGAGCTCAAAAAAAGTAAGGAGTTTCTCTAAAATTTATAGAAGAACTGCAAAGAATTAAATTTGATTAATTATTCCTCTAAACTTTCACATAAGACACATAAATGAGGCTATAAACACACAAGGAGTCTTTCTCTTTTTTCTTTTGAATTCCTTTTTCTCTTCTTTTTTATTTTTGTGTATTGCAATTAGTGTTCATCTTTCAGTGAGGGAACGCATGTTTCCTTTTAGTACACCACCTCTAATCATTTAGGCCATATTTATCTGTAATGACTTTGAACCATAAAAAAATCCTGTTCACAACAGATCTCCATAACCACGTTTAGACCAGTGCCTCATTTCTCTCCTTGATATTAACCGAGCCAAGAGCCCCTTATTCCTAAATAAGAGAGACATTTTTCCAATTCACCCCATGAACACCACACTCTTCCCAAATGAAATTGCTAATACATTTTTCAATCAGTCAAGCAACCTTAAGGAAACCTTTTTTTCTTTATAAGAAACAGAGAATTTCATTATCAAAAAGAGGAGATACAACAGAAGGGGAAAAGCAATCCCCAATGCCAAGAGTTACAAAAAAGACTTCCAATTGGCGTTAAGACTCATGAAGCTATAATTACATAACAAATTGTCAATGAGGCACCAAGAAGAAGCAAAAGTATGAACAACTTCCCATGAGCAGATTATAGAATTTCTTTTGCCTTTGAAGATTCTTTGATTCCTTTTGTACCACATCCTCCAAACTGTGGCTAGTGGCTACCACTGCATTACGCCATATAACGAGCATTCTTTTTTTAAAAGGAGAACCAACAAACAGCTGAAAAAAGAGCCTCTTTACAACTCTTCGGAAAGCACCAGCTCAACCCAAACTCTTTGAACACTAAGGACCACACTGGAGCAGTGAAATCGCAAAAGAAAAAAGTATGGACATGAGATTCTATCCCTCCTTTACATAAAATGCACCAGCTAGGAGATATTGCCAGATTTGGCCTTTTAGCTTGCAACCTATCACAAGTATTTAAATTCTCTTGGATGAGGAGAAGTTAAGCAAGTATCCATTAAGGATCTTTCTCTACAAAATCACTCACCTGGAACCTAGCCTCTCGTGGATTGATTGAAATAATTATTATACCGCTGCATGGAAAGGAAAGTATCCCAAAAGAGTCAAAATTTCATTTGGGAGCTTAATCACTCATGCATTAACACACAAGACAAATTGCAGTGTAGACAACATTGGCTCTGTATATCCACCAGCTGCTTTATTATTTCAAAAAATGACTGAGAGACTCAGAGAGACATCTTTACTATTTTTTCCTTGGCGTCAGCCAACTGGAGAATAAATACATCCATCTTTGGTTGGTCCTTTATCATGCCAGTGGACTTTTTTACCCTTCTCTCCCATATACTAGTTGGCCATCCTTTCAAGAAGGAAAAGAAATTCTCTGGTTCAACTTTTCCAGGGCATTCTTCTGATCCATCTGGAAGGAAAGAAACACAAGGATTTTCAAAGACAAGGAGCAAGGCTTTGACAGTTCCTTCAAATTTCTTTCGTTTTTGGCTCTCACTTGGTGCAAATTGTATCCCATTTTTGGTACCTATAAACTATAATTTCCCTGTAATTCACCTCCATTTTGAATATCAATCTCCAAGAGTGTCCTCTCTCAAACACACTAGCCACGTTCATATGGTGAACAGATAATGGAATTAGGATCTCAACAGAACCTCCCGAACCCACAAATCATCTCAAAATTTTATTCTTAGCTAATGACCACTTTGGAAGCAGTGAGGGCATAAACTCTAAAGACAACAGTTGCCCCAACTTCATGCTTGCTAACGACAACCAATCATTTCAAAGATGTGTATTATTCAGGAAACTTTCACAATCCTTTTTGTTAGATCGATTGAATACTTAGAGAAATTTTAAGGGAAAAAAATCCCATTTCCTATTAATTGCTTCAAATTTCCTGGTACCGGAGTGTTGTGCTAATGCCTACAAAAGAAAGCTGAATAAGAGCAGGTAATTACAATTTCAATAAAGAAGTGTCATTCCCAACACCTTATATCTAGGTCCTCCTCCAANCAGGTAATTACAATTTCAATAAAGAAGTGTCATTCCCAACACCTTATATCTAGGTCCTCCTCCAATTATTATTCAGGAAATTTTCACAATCCTTTTTGTTAAATCGATTGAATACTTGGAGTAAAATTTTAAGGGGAAAAAACCCATTTCCTATTAATTGCTTCAAATTTCCTTGTATCGGAGTGTGGTGCTAATGCCTACAAAAGAAAGCTGAATAAGAACAGGTAATTACAATTTCAATAAAGAAGTGTCATTCCCAACACCTTATATCTAGGTCCTCCTCCAAATTTTACTTGTCTATATTTTACACCCTTCAACGTATATTGAAGGTTAGACAATCTTGAAAAAAATACAAGCCTGCAGGCTGCAACTAACCAATCCAATATTGAAGGTTAGACGATCTATGATAAATTATCTGCAAAGGTTCTTAAAGTCCAAGCAAACACGCATAGAAAAAATTATTGTAATAACAAAAATCAACTTCAAAATTCCCACACCTACAGAGACTTCATTTTGTGCTGATTCTGTGAGAGCAGCATCTACAATATCTTTAAGGTGGATAACTTTAGAACCCCGTTTAACAGCATTGCAAGTAATCACAATTTTTGGTTTGCAATCTATGATTCTTTGGGCGAGAGATTCTGAAGAAAACCCCGCAAAAACAACCTGAAAGAATATATACTTTCACATATCAATTACAAAAGAAGATCAAAGAACATCCCCGGGAGGTGGACAAGTAGTAAAGTTCATCAATACCGAGTGAATAGCACCAATTCGAGCACATGCAAGCATGGCAATAGGAAGTTCCATTAGCATGGGCATATAAATCACCACAGCATCACCTTTTTTGACGCCATTATCTTTCAAGTAGTTTGCTAGCTTTGACAGATGGTAAGGTCAAAGTCAGATTAAAACAGCCATTAAAATGTCTAACTGGTTTTACTTCAGAAATCTAATACAGCCAACACCAACAGGAAGATGTAAGTATTGATACAAAAACATAGAAATTATTTATGACAGTGAAAACCACCTGGCAAACTTTGTGTAGAAGCTCAGTGTAAGTTAAGGTGCCATCAAAACCAGGTTCATTTCCTTCCCAATAAAGAGCAACCTTGTCCCCAAGTCCAGCCTCTATATTTCTGTCGAGGCAGTTGTAACAAATGTTGGTGATTCCACCTTTAAACCACTGCTCGGAATAGAGAAATATCACAAGAAGAAAGAGAAATGAGTGGAGTTGACGATGATAAGAGATCAAGGGGAAAAATGGTAACAAACTTAACAAGACAAAACAAGGAAAGAAAAGAGTGGGAAGGCAAAAAACATCAGAATTGAGGCTCACCTCTATCTTGATTTCGCCTTTTCGGACATCAAGGTTCTCAGAGTAGACCAGCTGGTCCCATCTGTGTTTCCAGAAGAACTCGGAAGACGCAATGTCGGACCAAAATCCAGCAGGATCCTCAATGGACCTTTTGTACATCTCCAAATACTGATGGACAAACATAGATTTGAAACAAGTTGATCAAGGAAGCAGAGGAAGTAGACCTGATGTGGAGAAAAATGAATGGCAAACAAACATAGTAGCCAAATCAGTGAAGAGAAATGGACCTTCTGGTGGGAGGAAACATGAGCGCGAGAAGAAAACTGGTCACTTGGTAAGATAAGCTGATCATCTTCGGAAGCAAGAGACTCCCCCAGAACGGTGGCATTGAGCCGAGGAATCTTACGGGCGGCAGATGAATCCACCTGGGTCAACCGATCCGGCGCGGTCAAATCCGTGAAACCCATGACCACCTGAGCCTGCTCGCCGCTGGTTCTGCTAAACGAGCAACAAAATCCGGAAGATGAGCGGGTGAAACCGAAAGATCTCGCACAGGAAGGGCGGAGACAAGAATTAAAGTAATAATAACTATGAAAAGTATTGACTTGACGCTTCTTATAGTTGGGCTGCTTCCAATTATGGATTTTGTGAACAGAATTATTGGCAGAAGATGCAGAAGGGAAGAGGAATGTGGGATTCGCCGGAAATGGACGGATGAAACAAGAAGAAGTCGCAACAGTATGATTCACCATTCTACGCTACCCCTCCAAAGCTGCTCTTTATTTCAAAAATTTGGCAATATTATAATTAGGATGCTACATTTAAGACTTAAGAGGTTCCAAATTCATGTGAATCTCACGACTCGACAAGTCTGGCTTGGTAGGGATTAGATTATACATGGGGAAACGAATCAATGAGTTAAAAATAGTAAAGGGCGTCGAAAAAATATATTCTTAAATAGGAAAAGGAAAATATCACCCGGATCGGATCAATGCTGACCTTTTAGTTACCATTGGATCGGATCAATGCTGCCGCCAAGTCAATGCTGCGCTGCCAAATATGTTAATTTATGAACCTCGTGCGCGGCCGCAGAGTCTGGATATTATTTGTAATTAAAAACCCCGACGCACGATTCTACCAGTCCGATATAAACAATGTTTGTGATTGTGGGGCGCACGCCCACATAAACATCACCAACAAAATAGAATTTTTGTGTCTTTTTGCGGATGCGGAGCGTGGGCGCTGGACAATTTGAAGAACTGCGGATCAATGGGTGAGCGGAAATGTGATTGCTACAGTTTCTGGAGTGAGCATCATCGTTCCGAGTACCGAGGGCGGATGCGATGGCGAGATAGATACGCCAACAGCTCTTAGCGAACACGAAATTATTCGATTGGGGGGAGGCTACTGTGATCTATCATCGTCCATGAGCTAAGTGCGCTGGATGTTGCTGGTTTTTGGCAAGAACGTTACAGAGGAGATTGTTGTTTGAATTTAAGCTACATTAATTTCAATTGTTAGATATTAACCTATTGAGATTGGTCAGTATACGTGTATCCATATTTAGAAGTGTATTATATCAAAGGAGAAAGAATAAGTAAATTGAAGCAGCTCAATCAAAAGAGAAGAGATAAGAATATTTTATTATTCTCAGGTGTTATTGAGTTTAACTCAAGATAACAAATTTCTTATCTTCAGAGTTGGTGACTTTTTAAAGTAAATTTGAGTGAGGGTTTATCAACCTTTCCAAAATATCAAATGGATGGCAATTCTTGTTACCATATTTACCAGTTAAGTTTGCAAATATGATCAACTTTTTTTTTTAAATTTTCAGAAGCATGCATATTTATACGTTTTATGTAATATTATTTTTACTCTTGTATATCACTCATTCTCGTCTATCAATAGACTATATTAATGGATTCGTACTTTCAATCAGGATCTTCCAGACGTTCATCCATCTTGATACTATTAAGCCATGACGACTCTCGCATTCATGTCATCCCACTTGAGTATATTGTTTCGACAATGGCCTTATAATGCAAGCTCCAACCCATGGGACAAGACAAAATGCTCACTAATATGCATCTAACTCTAAAGTCGCTCGTTCAAACTCTCGATAGAATTCCAACTTTTAGGGTCATGACTTGAGGTCCCCTACTAAGCTTGTCATTAACACCAGTGACACTGTTATTGCTTTCAATCTTTCTTACGCCTTAGCTAGGCTTTCTAATGCACATTATCTTGATGGGTTAGTTGATGCATCATCCACCTTGGTTGCATCACGACACTTCTCTCTAGACCCTCAACATGTCTTGATGGGCAACACATGCATATCACAACCACTTGTCAACTTCGTGGACGTTACAACATATTTTCTTCTAGTAATGTTGTGATATTCTCCCCCACTTAAACTTTTGTTGTTGCTAATGACATACTCGTAGGTACAATTTGAATATTGCACTTAAGATTGTAACATGGGTGTGTACATAAAGGTAGTAGGCATGTGTTTTTAGGTTCTTGCAGGGTAACTTTTTGGAGTGGCAAATGCGCATAGGTGTAGGTGTCAACTGCCTGGTGAGGATAATGTTGCGTGCAAGCATGGGCACTAGTTGCCTTGTGAGGTTAGCAGCGCACATCGCTTGCCGTTGGTCACCCCTCCTTGCAAGATTATCAGCTTTTTGTGATAGCTTGTGCTTAAGTAGGCTAACTTGATGGTCCTTACGTTTGGAAGGTTACTTGTATCGGTAGTCGTGATCACATCATCCTTCATCGATTAACAATTTTTTTTCCTTTTTCTTTTTTGTTATTATAGCTTTCACAACCTTGTTTTTCATGATGGATTTTAGCTTATTTGCCTCTTCACATTGAATACTAAATGGATGAAGCGTTTCAAAGGTGGCACCTAAAAGGAAAGGTCAAAATTCTTTGCAATTGTGTTGTTAGGGCCCTTCCGTGGAATATGTGGATGGAGATGAATTATAGGATTTTTTAAGCTAAGTCCTCTTATTTTGATATGTTTTGTAATAGTGTATAGCTACACTCTTCCTGATGATGCTAAGAGCAATTCTTGTCTAGTTCTTGGGAGGGGATCCCGCTTCTCCTTCTCTAGGCTATTTTCCCTTTATGGCTTTAATCTAAGGTTTCTATGTAAAAAAAAGACCTCATTCTTTCCTGATTTTTCCTTTATGAACATATTCTTCTTGCAAATTTTCTCTCTCAACCTCACTTTCCTTCATTCCTGATATTTTTCTTTTCACAATCAATAAGTTTGTTGATGTTTATTGGGTGTATAACTTTTCAAATGTGTGCTGCCATTTGAACTAAAACTCCAACTCCCATAGTCCACTTCCCATTCTAATCAACACAATATGACTGAAACCCTTTAATTTTTTCACTAACTCATTGACACAGACTATATTTTTATCTTCATTTTAACGAAAAGTTAATAGAGTGGTTGTTTTGATAAGATTAAATGTTAAAACGAAGCTTGTGAAATGTTAAAGATTATAATTGAAATTTACCAAACATATTATTATATGCATAAATTCCAGAATATATCTTTTATAAATTCAGGTGGCGGGTTATCAAGTTTTTTGAACACCCTATCAAAGAACCAAGAATATCTCTTCTAAACCTTGCGAAAGAGAAAAAAAAAAAAAAGAAATTTGCCCAGAGAGAGAAAAGATTGAGATATGTCATTTGTGCGTCGTGCCGTAGAAAGATGGATAATATGTTTTTTATTTTTTATTTTAATTTTTTGGAGTTCAAACATGGAAGCTGGATAATTGGATATTGTATAAATAAATTTTTTATGTGATTGATTGGGGCAGGGAGGGTTCAGCAAGAAATTCCCTACTCCAATTCCCCTCGACCGCAGTCCATTTGATTGGATCGTCTTCTTCGATCATCCT